GTGCTGCTAAGGGCCTTAAAACCAGATCGATCCATTTCTTTTTTTTAGATATTCATAATTTTATGTTGTAGAAAATAGAACAGTGATAATAGTCTTGGAAACATGAATATTTTTCCATACAATAGTTTCCATTTTCCATACTTTTCCAGACCTTGAAACTTATAAAATCAAATTCCATGCTTTTCCATACTTTCCAGACTTGCGTAGGAACCCTGAATAAAATATTCTACATGTAATTTTATACCATGCAATTTATATATGTGTATCTTGATATAGTCACTTTTCTGTGGCTGTTAATGTACAAAGCAGTGCAAAAGGAAAGTGCCTAACCTAACCAGCACATGGAATTTAAGAATTCAAAGCAAAGGAAACAGACAGCATTATATTTTAAAAATAACAATAATAATTGAGATTTATTTAAGTTTCTAGTTTTGCCATGACATGTTTACTCCTCAAATTTAGCCAGAAATGACACATTTGTGTCAACAGTATTTGGATTTTTCTTTTTTTTTTTTTTTTAAAGTAAGTCCGTGCAGCTGTCATCTTTGAACAGGATTAACTAATCTTTCAACTCACTGCTTTTTTTCCACTATCTCACATTCATTGCGGCTGTCTCTGCTATCGCTGAGATAAACACAGTGTTGTGCTATGCCGTCTGTGTATATAAACAGTTTCATTACAGTCCTCTTTGCAGCTGACAGCTGCTCTTCTCAGAATGCGAGATCAGGACATTTTGATATTTCATATGCAAGTCAAGCTGCATTTCCATAACATTAAAACCTTGCTTATGTATAGAGGTAAACATTTGTTATGACAGAGAATGATGATGTAATCTTGGCCGAGCTCCACAGGCTCTTGTCAGGATTGGCTAATTAACCAGATACACAACTACACAACATCAAGGAGCAGAAGGGCTCATGTTGATTAAGATCGTGCTCATAATGAATCAAACAACGTCATTAGACTCCTCTCGCCTTCCGCAAAATGAGAATTTACTGAGATGAGTAATTCTGGTGCCAGCACTTTGGGACTGAATTCTGATTAGAGAGTTAAGTGATGGTGAATCATTCAAGACAGGATGAAAATACATATTGACTATTTTTTTCCCACCTGTCTATAGCACCAGTCAAAGGATTGGACACACCTACTGATTCAAGGGTTCTTCTTTATTATTATTACACTTTTCTACTGTGTAGAACTGAAGACATCTGTAATTATGTAATGAGGAAAAAAAAAAACACACATAAAGTAAAACATGTTTTCATATATTTGCCTGGATGAGAGCCTTGTATGGCAATATCTCAACCACCTGGCTTAGGTTTCAGTTAATAAAGGTACCTTGTCAAAAGTTAACTGGTGGAATTTCTTGCCTTCGTACTGCGCTCTAAAAGCTTCTTTAAGTGCAGTCGTAAAAACCGTCAAACGCTATGAAGAAACTGGCTCGCACAAGGGCCTCTCCCAGAAAGAAAAACCAAGCATTACCTCTGATAGATAGCCTAAGCTCTGTCGAGTTAGCAGCTCCAGAAATCACCAATTGGCTCAGATCAGATAACACATCTGCATGTGTGGTTCCCAACATGAAGCATGGAGAAGTTACGATGATGGGAAAGGGATTTGCTGAGACACACTGTTGCCGATTTATTCAGAATAGAGGGAATTGTTTCACCAGCATAGCTACCACAGCATGGTGCACCGACACATCCACCCCATCTGGTTTGTGCTTAGTTGGACCATTATTTGTTTTTTTAACTGGACAAGAGCCAATACACACCTCCAGGTTATCTAAGGGCTATCTGACCAAGCTGAAGAGTAGTGGAGTGCTGCCTCGAGGGACCTGGCCTTCACATTCACCTGACCTTAACCCATTTAGGATGGTTTGAGATGAGCTCGACTACACAGTGAAGAAAAAGCAGCCAGTAGGTGTAAAGAATACACAGAAAACTCCAAGACTGTTGGAAAAGCATCTCAGGTCACGGCCACATAAAGCTGGCCGAGCACGTGACCATCATTACCTTCAGCTTTATGTGGCCGTGACCTGAAATGCTGAAATGAGAATCTAAAATTTGCTTTGTTTATATATATTTTAAATGTGTTATTAAATAGTTTTCAGTATTGTTCTGCTTTGTAGAAATGATAAAATGTATATGTACAAAGTAATAAAGAACCCTCGGTGTGTCCAAACTTAAATATTTTATCTAATGAACTTGCAGGTGCAACATCTTTTAACCTCCAAGAGCATTTAGAGCAGTTTAAGTAGTCTGACAGAAATTAGATGTAAAAATAAAACAAATACAAACATTACAATTAGTATTACATAATTTAATAAGCGTGAAGGTAATGATGGTCATGTGATTAATTTTTTTCTTTTATAGAATATCCCAGTCTATTACAGAGCTATGACCTTTTGTTACCAGATTATGGAAAACATTGTATTTCAGTAACATAATACAACAAAATAATTACTGTACCTCAAGTTCGTATATGTTCCCCAAACAGCTGAAAGAGAGAAAGAGAAAACTGGTTACAAAAAAGGTAGCATCTTTCATTTAAAAAAAAAAAAAGTGCAAAATACAGCTGTGTGAAATTTAGCAAAAATTACAATCAATGTTCCAGCAGGTGATATCCTTTAATTTTATCTTCACACTAACCATCAGATCAGTGAAAACCTTTCACATCACAGTACATCTGTCTCTGCCTTGGGATTGGTCGCAGCTATTATGGTCTTTCTGCTTAAACTAGTAGTTTTCACAACCCAAACTCCTTGCTTACATTTTTTCCACAAATTTACTTTAATTAAAAGACAAATAAACAGCACTACACACAGATAAAATACAGACCCCATCCTCTGTTATTTATATTACTAAACCACTATGAATTGTAAAATGGTGAGTTTTATTAAGTCATGATAAAATACCCAAATGTCACCACTTGTTTTGGGGTAATTAAGCAAATTAATAATCTACAAATCAAAGTACTTTAACACAATGATGGAAAAATTGTATATATAATCACATAAATCCTGTAATATCATATAGCAGTCTTTTGAATTGATTTGCACTACAATGGCCGAACACACCCAAAGATCTAACTAACTTTTAGAGTACCAAGGAAAATAAATACAAAGTTAAGAAGGTTGTTGTTTTTTTTTCCTGAGGAAAATGCCACATATTTGAGAGGTTTCAAGGCGTCACATTGTTTTCTTCAGCGGTAACTCGTTTTCTTTTGTGTTTCTCTCTCATTTTTGTGTGCATATAAATCTTAGGCTCTGGTAATCGCTGAGATTCAGGTTTTCTCAGCTTCCTCATCTCTTACAGGTGCTCTTGATGATTATCAGCTCTGTTTTCCCACAAAAGTCGTAAGATCATTTCTGCTGTGTGTTTGTACAGGTGTAGCAGTTGGTCGTTATTTGTTTTCTTCTACTTTCCTTTCACTCCCTCTCTCTCTCTCTCTCACTTCTTTAAACTGTACACTTTTCTTTTTCCCTCTGTCAGGTCCAGCAATATTACATTTAATTCAGTAACAAGCAAGCATTCAAAATAAATGAAATAAATAAATAAATAATCAGACTATCAAGAGGGGCATTATATTCATAAAGCTCCCCTTGGCAAAGTAAATCTGTTCAGCACAACACAGCAGCCAGATCATCATTCTGCTTGCTATGATGCTGGACCGGGCAAGTTAAGAAAAAAAAAAGAGAGAGATAACTCACAACAATTAGTTTGAGAGATGCATCACCTGAACAAGGTTCAAACCACAATGCATACTGCTACGATGGTGTAACATGTACATGCCTGTGACTGCTCAAAGGAAGGCAAGGGCAGCAGACAATGCCTAGAACATGACTTCAAGCAATGTGGAACTTTACAATGAGAGAGAGAAGAGATGGGAAAAAGTCAAGAGGTGAAAGCCAGGCAGAAGAGAAAGCGTGAAAGAGACAGCGATGAATGTGCGATGCAGTCTGATCCCCTGATTGAAATTCTAGAATCTAATGGGTAATGAACCTAGATGGTATAATTTTTGAATCTGTACCCAGAAATTGTCCTTTCATAGCTGTAGAGCTGTGACATGTTGCTAAAGGAAGCTCATCTAAGTGTTTTATTTTGATACACACATAATGACACAATTTATCTCCTCAGTCTGTCAATTTCTGAGTTAATAAAACCATGAGCGATGTTGTCACTTGACAGCCTTTAGTGCAGCGAGCTCAGCTAAACTAGAAAAAAACAAACATCTCAAAGTGTTTACAAGTAGCAGGGCTGAAAAATTTAAGGAAAATAGTCCAAGTTGTGATTTTTTTGTTGACAGATATTGCAAATGCAATTTGATTTGCAAGATATTTTGTCAATATTCAGTTCAATATTTACTGTATAATATAAAAAAATGTGGTGGAGCATAACCAAGAAATAACATCAAAAGTGTGACACCTAAGAAGGACTGCATGAATATATCACAGCCTTTCCAATCTGCTTATGCATTGTTTCAAACTGCAGTTTCAATTTGAAATCGAACGTTCTGCGGTAGTGACTAGTGCTACATTAATAAATGTATCTGTGTCGTCGATCCAGAATAGAGTTCCCCACTGGTGATTTTATGTAGATCATGTATATTTAAAAGCAGTGGATTGCTGTTAATGATTCTCCATGTTATGTCCTACTTAATTGTCCAGAGTAAGAAAAGAAAAAAAAACGGTAGCAAATGATTAACCAGATCGTAGGGTAAACCTGTTCTTAGGAGAGAACTCAATGTTGTCAAGCCTCAATTCTGAATCTGTCTCAAGTCCATTTGGTTTTGATACTAACCCTGACTTATCTGATTTATTTTGGACTTGTCCTGGAGCCTGTGCCATAAAATAATATTAGTGGGGTTATGTAGCTTTCTTTGGGCTAAAGTCAGGTTTTTGTATCATATAGCAACTTTTGCTGCGCAGCTAAACTGCTTCAGAGCGGATGAACTTCCGAGGATCATTTCAAAACCTGTGAACCGCTTGATTACTGAGCAATCTGATCACTGAGGCTCTGTCATCATTACTGCCAGATCCTGAAAGGTTTACAATGTAATGACTAATAAATCGAGCTATGGATATTTGTTTATAGAACAGCTGAATAATTTTGTGCTCCGTGTTTTCCATGTGTCTACTTTGGTTTTAAGATTGAGCTTGGGAAGAGTTTATCAAACTAAATAATGGAAATAATAGTCAAATTTAATTGCACAAAGACTCTTTCTCTTGTAACAAGTTTTTGATGTGTGGATGCATTTCCCTTTATGTTGGAATTCAGAAAACATCAGGATGTGATAATCAGATATTAAACTCACTATTAAACTAAACTAAACTAGCTTCAACCACCTTTTGTTTTGTTATTTTATGTGGACTTATAGTTGATGATTCATCCACGGGAATGTCACTTGCTGTTGCTACATTAGAATTTACTGGCAAGTATCACACATTCATCTCATATCATATATAGTAATATACCATTAACATAAAGCTAACAACTCTGATTTTTTTTTTAGGTTAGTGTCTTTGTAGCTGAAATTTGTATGATGTATCTATAAGTCCATTACAAATTCCACACCAGACACTATCCTGCAAGACAGCATGTTCTTCTGTATTTAAGGCAGACGGTTTTTCCAGAAGAACAACTTCCAAGCAGTGCATCGAGTCTTGCAAGGCACACTATGGTGTAGCTAACAGGGAAGTTGTGTTATTGTTTAAGGCTCATGCTACCAACAGACAAATCATACATGGACTGTGGTCCCCAAAATAAACTACTTTAAGAAACAACTATCAATGCAAAAGTTATTTCTCTTGAAATATTATCAATTAATCAAAAGAATATTTTAGAAAAGCTAATTTGCAAATTGCACAAAACGGATATATATACTTATATGCAAATTTCTAACTTAATCCTGAGTACAAGCACTTTATAACCTCCTGTTATAAAGTGTGTGACACTTCAAATAAGCACCCAGAGCAAACATGACCTCCATAAACAGTTCCATCTATTACAACTGCATAGGCACAATTGTATGCTTTTCAATTGATCAGTGCATTGATATTGTCAAAAAGCACTAGTAAATAATGATATGAAGGCATCAGACACAAATTGATTAATAAAAAAAAATTGCAATGACAGAGGAAGCCACCTGTAAGATATGACAACAAGAACACCTCTGGGATCTACGGTTGTTATGGTTGAAAATAAACAGTTTGACAAGTTAGATGCATTTTCACACACGTGTGTACTTACAGGCAATGTAGGCAATCAAAGCGAGGGCAAAAAGGAGCTTCATCATTCTTCTGTTTAAGCCTGATATCAGCCAGAGGACCCGTTTCATCATCCGCTCAATGCAACTGGATCAGGAAACTAACGAGCCACACGTTCAAGTCCAGCTAGAGCATTTTGAGTGACAACTGCTCATGTCCTCGGGGGAGTTTCGTCTTCAGGATGTCTTGTTTTAGGAGGGAGGCTGGCAATGTCTTCGCACCCCTAATTAACATAAAATGTAAATAGCTAAACAGGGCAGGCGAACTAGCTGCTCGTGCTACGTCAACACCAAGCAGCAGCCAGTTTACGTGGCTAGCGGCGTACACACACAGGTAGCAAACAGTATCAGGTGGCAACCCAAACTGTGGAGTGTCAACAGTCACAACAACACCTAAACTTATCCGTAAGCGCCATTCATCACCGGGCAGCTATATTAGGTGCTACACAATGCAATTTACTTCGCAGACGGGTGTTAAAGGTACATTTACAAAGTGCGCTAATGTCTTGGTAACAAGTAACACAGTGGACCCAAACAGTTAGCCGTTAGCTTCACGTTAGCTACCTCTAGCTAGCAGGCTACTAAACTGATAACGTATTTTTCTTACGTTCATAGTTACCGCAAAGAAACAACAAACACGGATCCTGTGTCACGCATATATTCAGGTAAGCCCCGGAAAAATAAAACCGCCACTCATTATAACGGTGCACAAGTGTTCATGTCGGAGTTTACTGCTCTCAGTTCGGCCGAGGAATGGCAGATGAGCGATTAGTCATCGCTCGATTTAGCAGCCTGACTTCTCCTGCAGACTGTGTGACGTTTGTTTGACTTCGCAAATCTCTAATAATAAACGTTTTATTTCTGCGTGACCTTATCAAGACTGCGTCCCTTTATAGTATTAGTAGTGTAAGATGGGTTACACATCTTTATTATGTTACATGATGTCGTAGTTTTCAGGTTCCAAAAATCATTTATTTTCAATACACACACACAATGGCTCATTCATTCCAATACTTTCCACTGTGAAGTGAACCTTGTTGCACACCTTGTTGATTTTCCCATTACAGCCACTGTAACGTGTATGGCGCTGTCAGAGAACCGTGCGATCAGATCATAAAAATAAAGGTGTGTTTGCTGTTTTGGAATCTGGACTGCATGCCTTCATGCAGGACTTTTGTACAGGCCTATTTAAAATCTTCCATTCATAAATAAGATTATTGAAAAAGTAGTTTTTAGTCAGAACCTTGACAGCTTTCAATCAGCTTTCAATGGCTCTTGCCATAAAACTGAAACTGCTTTCGTGAAGATTTTAAATTGTGTTTGCATAAATAATGATTCTGGGAGTGGAACAGTCCTTATTTTATTGGAACTTTGTACAGCGACTAGTCCTGGATGGACTGGAAAATTGGGTCAAGCTCTCAGGAATAGCCGTCACATGGCTCAGATAATGCTTAGAAGGCAGGGGATGTGTTAGTACCTATGAATCTGAAAATCTGAATCAGAATCAGAAATACTTTATTGATCCCCTTGGGGAAACTGCTTTCTGTTACAGATGCTCCCAATCAAAAGAAGAAGGAAAGTAAAAATATGTAATAAAAATATAAAGTATTAATATGAAATAAAATATATCTAAACACAAAAATAATTATACATTCTGTTCTTGTATATGTATCCCAAAAA